CTCCTTTTGGTAACGGTTGCACCAGCTTGTGTGCCTGTCTGTCTGCGTGTTGCTGCACTGTTTGCTCAGCGGCTTACGGACCGGTTACGTTTGCATACTGGAAATAGAATAACTGCCTAATTCACTGTTTGGTTACTTATACGGGATACAACACCTATGAACAAAATCTAATCGAAAGCGTTTTTTCACCCCTTTACGTTTTGGTAGTAACCGTTTCCATTATACTCTTTCGATTCGCAAATTAGTCATATGCCTCCGAAAGCCTCAGAACGGCTGGAGGTAGGTGGCAGGCGATCCTTTCTTCCAATCTCACAAGAGATCCCTCTCTTGAAGTCCAAGTGTCAGCATTAGCCATTAATGGTGATGCTCTATTCACTATCTTCTCGTGGGGGAAGTGTTTTTTGCGTCAAAGTGTGAAGAAGAAAAGCTAACATTCGAGGTTATAAACGGGTAGGTGAATTACCAGCAGTTTACCCAGAGGAGTTGGCTAAATACCCTGAATCTAAAGCAACTAAGAAGAGACAATAAGAATCACACAGACCTTCCTGGTTGTGGTAACGGCCAGCAGTTTGACTGGATATCGAGATGCATTGCTTACCTGGATTGTTTGACCACGTTCAAAGGGTGTATGATCAAATGAACAGAAGGTATTGGACTTGCGAGTCAGATTTGGCTAGCTCAAGAGTATCGAATGCTTGAAAAAATTCACCTGCCTTGTGCAATAATCAGATTGGTTACGAATCTCAACTCACGAATCGCAATCGCAGAGAAATCACCGAGTCGTACTGGTAATCATATGCCGGAAGCTCCCAGGACGAAGGTCACAGAAATAGCGATTCCTTTCTTACGAGAGATCAATGCAAATCGAAACATCATTGTTTGAACGGGCATCCACCAATCACCGCTCTCGTTTTTCGGTCACACGACTTCCTGTTTCAACTGCGAGGTCTTTGTTTGGTCGATACTATTGATCTGTTGTTCTTTGTCCAAAAGCTGTAACACAGTCCCCGACTGACGTGATCTTAGAAGGTTGAATCACTACGATTCGGCCTGAGCAATCTGGCCGAATTTCTCCAACCAGCGAGCACTTCTTAAGCCTGATTATTACTCCACTGTGATTTGTTTGATACGCAAGTTAAACTCAGACAGATATCAAGCAAAACGTAATAATATGCTAAAAGAGAGAGATAAATGTATGCTACACACCAGCTAGTCTCATCGTTATTATATAACCACGCTCATTTTGATGCACAATAGCAGTATACTATCCGGTGTCTTATTGACCAAAAACCTTCCCACATACTGATCATGTGGTTGTATGTCACATCATTTCTAATCTGGCTGATATTATGTCATTCTGCGACACGTTTTCCCGCGTATTCACGATCTGCACCTCAATCGGTTCTGATATTCTGAATACATTTGCAGTCTTTCACAACTGGCATGCCGAATGGAACTGTCAGTTATTAATTTTCTACATCCCCACATCACTATACAACACCGCGGACAATGATCTGTCGTGGTGTTCTCATTTACACGTCCGTTGCCAATTGGTATTAAAGGGAATAACAGTTTTTTTTCTTCCCTCAAATTTCCTTCATCCTATAATATAAATTGTCTATTCTCTTGTAAATATAATTGATTTAATTGAAAATAACTTCGTCACACTTTTCTATGATTGATCGATTGTTAACAGTGCTATTCCCATCCGCATACAAACGCATATATAGTTGTGCGATCGTTGTAAAATATCACATGATACTCGTTTCCAAGCTGTTGTTGATAATCTTTTCAATTTCAAAACCGGATCCAGTTGTCATTGTCCATTATCCTATGTGCATAAATATTGTGATTAAATTGTACGGTGTTGTGTTTTGATTAGGATTTATGTAAGTATAATATCTATAGTTCAGTCAACCAGTTCCTTTTTGGAACCAGAAGTGAAATAAAACTGTAGTAATTGAAGTAGGTACGGATCACAAATTACGGTCCTGACTGTAGCACATAATCGCACTAGCACTTGCACGCTGAGATCTCCCATCACCGAGAAGCAGGAAAAAATGTCACAGAAGTAGCGTTTCGTTAATTGAGAGAAATCATTGGGATCAAATAATATGGATAAACAAACGTTATTGGT